CTAATATCATCCCAAGGCAAAGATGGGTATGTATAATACAACAAGCTATTTTGAGAAAGAGAGAGAGAAAGAGAGAGACCACATTCACATAATTTTTATTACAGTATATATTATAATTATTCTATCTTATCATTATTTTATATTTATATCTTGCTATGCCTAATTTATAAATTAAACCTTATCGTAGGCATGTATATACAGGAAAAACACACTATATATAAGGTTTGATACTACCCATGGTTTCAAATATTCATTTGTGATCTTGGAATGTTTTCCCTGCAGACAAGGGAAGATTCGTGGCTTTAAATAATATAAGGCAAAAATTGACAAAGGAAATAAAAGAAATTGACATACATAGTGAAAGTTTTATAAAACACTTGTCTCAGAAATCAGTAAAAGTAAGGATATAAAATTGGAATGACTAAATGAACAAGCTTGATCTAATAGATACAGTAATATAGCAGTATGTATTTGACTGAGATACACATTTTTTCAAACACATAAAAAATTCCCTCAAATCAGGAAAGGCCAGAATTGACAGCTACAAAGTCTATATACTTTGCAACTATAAAGGCATTAGTCACATAAGATAAAAATAGCACCTTCAGTGTTATGCAACAGGGCATCTTTGCCCCAAATTATTCATATAAAGATTTTAGGATGCTGCTTGACATTCTTTAAAAAATGAGTCCTTGGATAGTCAAGAAGCCTGGAGCCTGGAGTCACTGCCTGGCCCTGCCAGGACTCAGAGAGTCCTGCCTCCCACATCCAGATCTGACTCATTAGAATGAGTGTCCAGGCCCTACCCAACTCTAGGAGCTGGTGAAGCAGACCCTGCTAAACAACAAGGCCTATACTGTTCCTGCCCTAGAGCACTTTCCAAAGTGCTCTTTCTACAGTTGTTCGAGGAGGCTTTCATGGAGTATCATGTGGAGATCCTGAAGAAATTGGTGCTGGCCTACTCCTTCATCTGCCTCCCTCTGGGGTCCCTGATGAAGATACTAAATATAAAGATCTTCAAAATTGTACTGGATGTGCTTCTTGCCCAGAAGTGCAAACCCCAAGTGCTGGATTTTGGGAATGTGCATCAGAACTTCTGGATCATAGGATCTAGAGCCATAACTGCCACCTACACACCAGAGGCCATATCAGAAGCAAACAGTGAAACATGGTCCAAGGGTAGCAAAGCAGCCCTTGAAAATATTCATAGACCAAGTGAAGGAAATTGCCAGGGATGAATTATTCACCTGTTTCTCATTGTGGGCTGTGGAGAGAAAGGCCGTGCTCTGGGTGTGCTGTAAGAAGCTGAGGATCAATTCATGTTTCTTCTTCAAGGTTCTGCATGTTCTGCAGCTGGACTATGTCCAGGAACTAGAAATGGATACTTCCTGGGGTCAGGACAAAATAGAAAATTGTGTTTATTGTTACCTGAGCAGGATGAGCACCCTTTACACATTTCATTTTACTAAAATAAGTCCAGAATTCTTTCCTTCCTATTCATAAAACAGGTGGCATTCCTACAAATAGAGCATCCACTTGAGAAAGCCGGACGATCTCTAGGAGCTTTGTAAACAAGATGTCTTCTTTCTTCATGGAGCACTGCATAAAACGCTCAGAAGTCAGAACCCCTTGAAGACTCACTCATTGAGTTCAAGCCCACTCAGGGAATCAGAAAAAGCCTCTGTCCTAGAGTCCAAGCACCAATCAGCTGAAGCACTTGGACTTCAGGAGATTCTCAATGAAAGAGATGAGTCCTGAGCCCCTCTGAGTTCTGTAGAAAAGGTGGCAGACATCCTTGAGACCCTGGTCTTGGAGAATTGTGGGACCACAGACTTCCAGCTGAGTGCCATTTCTCCAGCCCTTGGAACCTTCAGCTTTTATGGAAATCACATCTTCATGTTTTCCCTGAAGAACCTGCTGCTTCATACTGCTAGGCTGATCCTCTTAAGACAAAGGCTGTACCCTGCCCTTCTGGAGTGCTTGATGATATCTCCCAGGTTTGCAAGGGTGAAATCAACCCTGAGAAACTTGCCTAGGATTAGATGTTTCTTGGGCTGGACTGGGGATGTGACTCAGTGGTAGAGTGCTTGCTTGACAAGCATGAAGCCCTGACACACACACACACACAGACACACACACACACACACACACACACACACACACAGCTTCTCTTGTAAACTTCTCTGATTTGGTGCATATGCAAGAATTCCAAGTTTGAGGACAGTCTTGGTAACTCAAAATAAAAAGGGGTGGGGATGTAGCTTAGTGATTGAGTGTACCTGCCTCAATCCGCAGTCCCTTCAAAAAATGGTTTGGGGTTGGCCTTCAGGTTGGGATGGGTATAAGATCTCCATTTTGCCATCTTTTTCAACTACATGTATAATATGTATATTACATATAGTCTTTTAAAAAAATTTAGTTGTAGATGGCACCATGACTTATTTATTTTTTAAAATAATTTTTATACCTTTATTTTGTTTATTTATTTTTTAATATTTTTTAGTTGTAGATGGACACATATCTTTATTTTATTTTTTTATGTGGTGCTGAGGATTGAATCCAGTGCCTCAGACCTGCTAGGCAAGTGCTCTACCACTGAGCCACAACCCCTGCCCTCTTTATTTATTTTTATGTGGTGCTAGGGATCAAACCCAGTGCCTCATACGTGCTAGGCAAGCACTCTACCACTGAGCTACATCCCCAGCCCTATTTTGTATTTTACTTAGAGACAGGGTCTCACTGAGTTGCTTAGGGCATTGCTAAATTGATGACAATGGCTTTGAACTTGCAATCCTCCTGCCTAAACCTCCTAAACCGCTGGGATTACAGGTGTGCACCACCATGCCCAGCAACTCCCCAAATAATTTTTACAAATTTTACAAAAACTTTAAGGATCAGAAAATTGCTATTTCACATAATATATTCCAGAATATAGAAAGCATGGAAAACCATTTCGGATAAAGCACATACTGTTTCCATAAACATACAACACTTCTGACAGTAAACATGCATTTTTTTCCCCCCACACCAAGCAATTCTCCAACTCTCTGGACCCCTGCTGAGTGTCCCACAATTTAATCCAATTCTGACACCACCTGGAGTTGGCATCAGATTCCAAAAATTAGGGACTCAGTCCCACAAGACTGTCTCTGACTTCACAGGGCTGGGGTTGTGGCTCAGTGATAGAGAGTGCTCGCCTAGCAATGTGCAAGGCCCTGGGTTCGATCCTCAGCACCACATAAAAATAAATAAGTAAAATAAAGTTACTGTGTCCAACTACAACTAAAAATAAAAATAAATAATAATAAAAAAAGACTGTCTTTGACTTCAGATTGCCAAATGCAAGACTGGGCCTTCTCTATTCTTCACCAACTGGCTATAAGTAAGGTTATTATACAAACTTTTTGTCAAGTATGATACTTTGCTTGAATGCTTCTAGCAGAACTCAGGATAACATTTGACTTACATTCCCCAGTTTATTATAAAGAATACAATTGAGGAACAGCTGATAAGGAGAGGTGCCTATGCAAATGTACGTGAGTTGTGAGAAGCTTCTGTGCCCTCTCCATGTGCATCACAGTCCCAACACCTCCATGTGTCTGCCTGGATCTCATTAAATCTAGTTGTTCCGAAGTTTTTATAAAGAATAATCTCTGTCTTCCTCCCCACCAGTTTGCTGGAGGTTGGAAGATAGGGCTAAAAGTTCCAATCGTCTTATCTCTTGGTCTTTCTGGGTTAGCCAGCCCCATCCTGAGGTCTTCTAGGATCTCCACCCTAAGTCATTCATAGGCATAAAGTTGGATGTGATAAAAAATGGCACCTTATGAATAACAAAAGACTCCCCTGTTACTCAGCAAATCCCAAGGGTTTTAGGAGCCTTGTGTCAGGAATTGGGGACAAAGAACAAAAAGATTTTTTTATTATATCATATATTTAACTTATTTTATGAGGTTGGGAAAATCTTATCACAGATATTGAATATACACAGCAAATATGTGTGTCCATATCCCAATTCATGTGTTGAAACCTAACCTAAAACAATGGCATTAAGAGGTGGAGCCTTGGGGCTGGGGCTATGTCTCAGTGGTAGAGCGCTCACCTCACACATGAGAGACCTTGAGTTTGATCCTTAGCACCACATTGAAAAAAATAAAATAAAATAAAGATACTGTGTCCATGTGTAACTAAAAAAAAATATTTAAAAAGAGAGGAGCCCTGCGAGGTGATTAGATAACGAGAGCAGAACCCTTACAAATGGTATTAGTGTCCTGAGAAAAATACACTCCAGAAAGCTAGCAAGTACCTTCCACCATATGAGAACACAGTGAAAAGATGCCACCTTTGAACCAGGCCTCCAGAAGTGTGAGAAATAAATTTCTGTTATTTATAAACTATACAGCCTGTGGTATTTTGTTGTAGCAGCCTGAAAGGCTAACTCCATAGTAAAACAAATGAACAAATAAACGAAACCACTAAGATAGATGGCAACCTCACTTACATAGACACAAAAATCCTAATTTTTTAAATATAAAAAATATTAATAGTAGCAAAACAGATCCAGCAGAATTATAATAAGTACATTATTTTTTCAGAGTAGAAACTTTTATTTTAATTGTCAAAAGAATGCAGTAAATTAAATCTATAATGATTAACATCAGGCATGCATCTCTACTTAAAACTGCTATTAGTTTCTGACAGAGCTAAATGATATAATTTCTTTAGGCACCATCTTTGAATTTTTTTTTTTACCCTGATGTACAGTACAAGTTTACTTCTTCCTATAGGTTTACTTCTTCCTGTGGTCGTCTAGTAATGAGAATCATGTTTACTGGTCAGATTCCTTTATAACTAAGGCTTCTAGATTCTCAGGCTGCCTGTACTACCTTGAGACCATATTTTAATATAGATATTTTTAAGTAAATCATAGTAAAGGGGAGGGACACAACCTAGAAAGCTGAAGTGTACTGTATAAACACTCCAAAGATTTTTTTTTTTTTTCCAGCACTGGTAGTCAAAAACTAGACAAGGAGGCCAAATTAAGTACCAAATCACACTCTCCCACTGTCTTCTTTTCAGACACAAAGATCTCTCTAAAAATATTAAATAAATTCACACAAATAGAGATTTTACTTATGAGATTCCAACATCAAGTTATAGAAAGCAATTCCACTATCAAAATTATAGCTGTTAAGGAGACCTTGAGAAAAAGCAGTCTTATACTCAGTAATATGCAGCTAATGGTTTTCTGTCAATTATTTTTACAAGATTAACATTAAAAAACACAACCAAATACACATATGACCCTCAAACCCCACACAAAACAATTGGTCTTTGTTTATTCTCAGATGACACGATGTCCCACAAGTGACCAAAGGTGGGGTGGGGGTGGGGGGAGGCAATGCCCCATAGTCAATTCTTCAACTATCCCATCAACAGCTCTTCCTTTCTTGAACTACCTTCTTTTTCCCAAAAGGTAATGCTGAGATCAGTCAGAAAAGCTTTCTGAGAAGACTGGCTTGGATTTCTGGGTCTGTTCCAGTCGATTCAAGATGAATTGGCTCGTATCAATGAAGCGTTCAACGCAGTTCACAAAACAGGCCTCAGACCGACTGTCCAACTTTGGCCCAGGCTTGTCCATGCATTTCTCCCAACAAAGTCCAGTCATCTGGTGCACCAGCTGCTGGAAGCGCTGCTTCTGAGTTTCCACCTCAATGAAATGCTGTAACTTTGGGTCCACTGTGTCCAAATTGGCCACCAAGGAAGAAGAAAAGGAATCCATCCCAGTGTGACCACACTTGTGACAGGAACTCTGCGGCAACTCCAATGGTAAGTAAACTTTAATTGCTGAATATAAAAATTATTGAAATCAGAATAATACCTATCCAAGTAATATACTCATTAATAAATTATTATTTTTCTTTCTTTTTGAGACTAAATCTATATTGGTCTTGAATTCCTGGGTTCAAGTGATCTCTGCTACAATGCTCAACTAAAAAGATGGGGTTTTTTGTTGTTGTTTTTTTTTTGGTGCTAGGGATTAAACCCAGGTACTCATGTATGCTAAATAAGCACTCTCACTAAGCTATACTCCCAGACCCATGACTAAGTATTCTAAAAACAAGATAGGGTTAGATGAGACAGCTTGATTGAAGTGAAAGTGACTGCAGAAAGATATTTTAGAAGAACAATCAAGGTTTCTGTGAAGATGATATTGGAGGAGATAACTGACCTGTGTCAAGTGGAGGCCTGGGCTGTGTATAGTACTGCAGGAAGAATATTCCAAGTAAAGGAAGCAGTTGCTGAGGCTCTTCAGTAGAATGGCATCTGGCATGATAAAAGGAACCTCAAGAAATAAAGTGTGCTAGTGAGGTGTGAATGAGGCAAGAGCAATAAGAGATGGGGTGAGTGCAATGGACAAGACTTTTATCATGTAGGATCTTGCAGACCATTTGAAGCATTTGCTTTATTTTTTCTAAATAACATGGGATGTTACAACAACAACGCTGTTGTGCATACTGTTGAAGGGAAGATCAGCAGCACAATATCTTAGTCAATTTGTGTTGTTATGACAAAATACCACAGATTGGGTAATTTATAAAAAATAGAAATTTGTTGCTGACAATTCTGGAGCTTGGGAAATCCAAGAACAAGGCACTGGCAGTTTTGTGTCTGGTGAGGGCTGCTCTCTGCTCCCAAGATGGAGCCTTTGTTGCTGCATGTTCCAGTGGGGACAACATTGTGTCCTCACAAGGCAAAATAGGTGGAAGGGCACAAAGGGAATGAAATAATTCTCTCAAGTCCTTTTATAAGGGTTCTAATCCCATCCACGAAAGCAGAGCCTTCATGGTCTAATCATCTCCTAAAGGTCATCTCTTAATACTGTTGTACTGGAGATTAAGTTTTAACATGAATTTTGGAAATGACACAAACATTCAAAGCATAGTACACAGAGACAGATTTAGGAAAGAGATGGTGGTGGGTGGTGAAGGTGAGAAATGGATAGATTCAGGATTTATTTTAAGGTAGAATCAAGAATAGACCTGGAAATGTGGCTCAGTGGGAGAGCTCTTGCCTAGGATGTGGGAGGCCCTGGGTTTGATCCCCAGCACTAATAACCAAACAAAAATAAATTGTTAATGGATTGGAAGTGAGGTATCAGGACAAAGAGAAAAATTAAGAATTATTCTCAGGTTTTTTTCCTGACCAACAGATCAACACTGGGAATAGTAGAAACATTTCCTGGGGTAGGGAAGACTGGGGAGGTTTGTTTGGACTGCATTAAGATTGTAATGCATAGGAGGGGAGATGTCAGGTTAGCTACTGAATGTTCCTTCCTCATAGAGTTAATGAGCTGAATTTAAGAACAGCTTAAGTTCTTAAACTTAGTTTTTTTGAAAAACTAAATATTAAAAAATCCAAAAAGTTACTGGCTGATTTAATAAATTAGAGGATAGCCACAGTGCCATTCCATTAATTTGTATCCAAGATGTTTTGTTTTGAGATGAAGATCTTGCCATGTTGCCTCCTCATATTTCTGGGCTCAAGGGATCCTCCTGCCTCAGCCACCTGAGTAGCTAGGACTACAGGTATAGCCACTGCAACTAGTTTAAGATGATAATTTGAAACTGAATAGATTATAACATAGTATATATGGTTTGCCACCACTTTTAAAGAATAAAACATGATATATCTTTATGGTAAACTTAGAAGCAGACAGACTGGAAAATAAACGGTGGCTACCTCAGATTTTGGCGTATAGTGTGGTTTTATTGTTTTTAATTGTTATTGGTAATTTTAAATGTCCTCAATAGTCATGTTACCTTTATAATTCGTTTTTTAAAGAAGGAAAATCCACGAAGGTCTCTTTCAGCTGGGCAGTCTGCGTCTGGGTCACCTGTCAGGTGAGGAGCGTCCAGGTGATCGGGCCAAAGATGCACCAGATGCAAAGTGGGAGAGGAAGAGTGGCGTGGGGGGCGAGGTGGGCGGTCCGAAGGGCAACGCCCCTGTGGGTCACGTGCTCGCCGGACGCCAATGGCCGCCTCGGAGCCCACCTTGAGGATGGGGCGGGGCGCCGGGCTGGCGTCACCAGGACAACGGGCGTCGCCGGCGCCGTGTGACTCCGGGCTGTGGGCGCGCTCGCGGTCGTTCGGCCATGGTGAGTCTGGGTCCCGCG